AATTTTCTTATTTGATATGGTTGTTTATTTTGTTCTCTATATAGTTTCTATTGTTAATGTTGTGAACGTCTCTGCTCAAGTCAACAACATCCCAATACTGAGCGGGACAAACTTTAAGTTTTGGAAAGAAGCCGTGGAAATTGTCCTCGGCTGTATGGATTTGGATCTTGCACTTCGTTCGAATCGACCCATTTCTACTCTGGAAAACCCCAACGAAAGTAAAATTGATAGGTGGGATCGCTCTGACCGAATGTGCTTGATGATCATGAAACGTTCCATTCCGGAAGCATTTCAAGGCTCTATTACTGAGAGCGGGAGTGCCAAGAAGTTCCTTGAAGAAATTGAGTAATACTTCGCCAAGAATGAAAAATCGGAGGCGAGTAACCTTTTGGCTAAACTCGTTTCCATAAAGTATAAGGGCAAAGGGAACATAAGGGAGTACATCATGGAGATGTCTCATCTCGCATCAAAACTCAAGTCGCTTAAGTTGGAGCTCTCTGATGACTTGCTCATGCACTTGATTTTGATCTCTCTTCCTACGCACTTTGGGCAATTCAAAGTGAGTTATAACACTCAGAAGGACAAATGGTCCCTAAATGAGCTTATATCTCACTATGTGCAAGAAGAAGAGAGGCAGTAGTATGATAAGACTAAGAGTGCTGACTTGGCCTCAACCTCTCAGAACAAGAACAAGAAGAGAGCTAAGGATGTTGTGGAAGGAACTTCTCAGCAAAAGAAGCAGGATAAGGAGTTTACCTGCTACTTCTGCAAGAAGTCGGGACACATGAAGAAGGAGTGTCTGGACACATGAAGAAGGAGTGTCCCAAGTACGCTGCCTGGAGTGTAAAGAAGGGTATGCTTCTAACTTTAGTGTGTTCTAAAGTTAATTTAGCTTCTGTACCTAAGGATACTTGGTGGGTAGATTCTAGTGCTACTACTCACATAAGTATGTCCATGTAGGATTGCCTGTGGAGCGGACCACCAAGTGATTCAGAAAGATTTATCTTTGTGGGCGATGGCAATAAGGTTGCGATAGAGGCTATATGGACTTTCAGATTACAATTAAAAACTGGGTTTTATTTGTGATTTGTTTGAGACATTTGTTGCACCGTCCTTTAGATGGAATTTAATTTCTATTTCTAGTTTGGACAAATCAAGATTTTCTTATTC